TAATATAGTTGCACCTGGAAATACCTTGTTTTTGAATATAAATAAACATTCATAAAAAGTTGGACACAACTTAGTGACTGAACAACAATTAAAGTTCATAGCTTCCAAGGGTTAGGACCTGGATATCTCTTGGGTGTCCTGCCTCAGGCTGCCACACCAGGCAATGAGACATCACAGCACCTACATAGATGGTGGCTTGGTATTGGAAGAGTTGCTGGTAAATAGCAGAATCCAGGATTCCTGATGTGCTGCTGCCACTGAGTCCTGGTCCTGGTGAGTCACTGGATCTCTCTAGGCATTTGCTCTTTATTTTATAAATGACCTAGTGGAAATAAGTCACGTTGCATGAACTGCTGCTGGTATTTCTAGATGGGCCTCAAGGCACCTGGAAGCCCTGTGCAAGATGAGTGCTCCTGCATATGCAAATATTGGCACTTTCTTTAGTTCCTCGGAAAGCCTGAGGCCAGAGAAGCTCCTCAAGGACCAACGGGGTAACCCTCAGCCCTGGACAGAGAACCTGGGGCTCCCAGAAGGTGGCCAGAATCTACACCATATCATCCAGAACCTGTGCAGGTGGGGCTGGACTTTGTCAGACTGTTTAATCTTTCCAGGTGGTTCTAACATTCAGACAGTTGTGTTTGTGTTGGTGCGGGACTACAGACCTTTAAAGTTTTTTCCTTTAATGTCCCTCTAAGTGATGCATTTGATGAATCAGAAGAACAGAACCATGAGTCTCCACTGTTGCTTCACTTCAGCATTATTAACCAACACAGATTTCTGGCAACAACCCTGGAAAGTGAAAGTGAAAGTCACTCAGTCGTGTCTGACTCTTTGCGACCCCATGGACTCTACAGTCCATGGAATTCTCCAGGCCAGAATACCAGGCTGGGTAGCCTATCCCTTCACCAGTGTATCTTCCCGACCCAGGAATCGAACCGGGGTCTCCTGCACTGCAGGCAGATTCTTTACCAACTGAGCTACCAAGGTCTGATTTAATGGATCTGCGTGTAAGCATCAGGCTTTAAAGCTCCCCAGGGGGCTCCAGTGTCCAGCCCAGGTTGATAGAAAACAGCAGCTTTCCTTTGCAGGTTTGGGCAATGGATTGTTGGTTAGGGGGAGGCCTCCTAATTCAGAGAGCTCCTAAACCATAGAGTCTGGGAAGTCATTTCTCTGGAAATCTTGACAAATCAATGAGATTCCTAGCAGTCAGAGGACTTAGCCATGGCCCTGTAGCCACAGGGCTAAGGCATGAATATGGTGACCTTTCAAAATTGATGACAATTCCTTGAATTATGAAAGCTGATATCAAGCTTGCCCCTGATACATCCTGTCACCATTTAGACAAGGAATGTAAAAAGAATAAAAATACCCCGGTGAATTCAGGATGGTGGAAAGCGTCATTACTGGTAATGAAAATTACAGGAAGCCTTGGTGACTCCTGCTCTCTCCCCAAGACTAACATGAGAACATGTTTTTACTTCTGATGCAATAATTAAGTTTGCCCAAGAAAACGTCTCTCTGCACACGCCTCAGGGCAGGAGTAAATGAAGCCTTTAACTAACTGATAAATGCGATCATCTCAGTTACTAAACTCTCGGGCAGACAGGCTTCCCAAGTGGATTAACTGAGCAGTGATGAGCCTGGACAGTGGGGGTGGAGGGGGTGGGGAATGGGCAGGCTCTGGAGAAGGGATTAGAGATTCCTGAGGCTCAGAAAAACCAACTTTATTAGGAAATGGAAGAGGTTTGTGGTGACCTCCGTAGCTAGAGGCAGCCACAGTTCTAGATCCAGAGCTTGAAGCCAAGAGGCTAAAATGAAAATAGCAGCTTGAAGTCTCATCAGATACCACCGGGATGAAGAGACACATTCCCCCAACATGAGCATAGACAGAGCGAGGGCCCTGGGTAGACATTACAGGTAACGGGAGATCAAACAAAGCCCTCCCTGCCCCCATGAGGTCTCACTGAATGGAGGACAGCAGATCGGGGGTCTCCCAGGACGCTCAGAAAACTGAATTGAGGGTGGGATGGACGATGCTCAGATGTGAGAGCTCAAAAACTGAATGGAGAAAATAAACTGGGCAGGGGCCTGGGAGCCGTGGATCCCTACACCAAGACAGAAACAGCAATGACTAAGTTGCTCAGAGAGAAAGGTTTAGCCTCATTAGCTAACAATGAAACAAAATAAAAGCCTCCTAAGAATGATTTCTCTCTGAAGGAATACTCAAAGGATAGGCAGTGTGTAATGGAATAGGTTTTCCCTGCCCTCTGGGTATAAGTGTAAACAAACATGACCCTTTTGGAGAACAATTTAGGGACCTGTGCCAGACTCACGTGCATATTTTGACTCATTATTTTCACCTGTGGGAGTTTACTCAGAAACAATTCACTACATCAAAGGCTTAATGCTCACGGGTATATACTGCAGTATTATTTTGAAGAGTTTTAAGGTGAGCAGGACAGAAACCCGTCTTTTTGTAAACTAATCTTGGAAGTGACTGCCATCACATTTGCCTATCTTTACAAGCAAATTTCTAGGTCCAGCCCACACTTGAGGGGAGGGGATCCCACAAGGATAGGAATACTAGGAGGCGGGCTTCACTGGGCTGTCTTAGAACTGCAAATCACAAACCTCCTGAACCGTCTTTCCACAGCTATGCTGTTTCTGAACCATATTAAATGGGAGTCAATGCACACCATTGCTCTGTTTTTATTTTACTTTTTTCATTTTAAAAAATCTTTTTATTTTGAGATAATGGTACATTTACATGCAATTTTAAGAAAGAATATGTACCTTTTCCCAATGGCAAACCTATAGTACACAGTCACAGTCAGGATACTGACAATGATACAGTTCAGATATGTACCATTTCTGTTGCTGTTAGGATCAGGTCACCTTTTTTTTTTTTTCCCATTTATTTTTATTAGTTGGAGGTTAATTACTTTACAGTATTGTAGTGGTTTTTGCCATATATTGACATGAATCAGCCATAGATTTACATGTATTCTCCATCCCGATCCCCCCTCCCGCCTCCCTCCCCACCCCATCCCTCTGGGTCTTCCCAGTGCACCAGCCCCGAGCACTTGTCTCATGCATCCAACCTGGGCTGGCCCCAGTGTTCATCTCAGCACTGTTTATAATAGCCAGGACATGGAAGCAACCTAGATGCCCATCAGCAGACGAATGGATAAGGAAGCTGTGGTACATATACACCATGGAATATTACTCAGCCATTAAAAAGAATTCATTTGAATGAGTTCTAATAAGATGGATGAAACTGGAGCCCATTACACAGAGTGAAGTAAGCCAGAAAGATAAAGACCATTACAGTATACTAACACATGTATATGGAATTTAGAAAGATGGTAACGATAACCCTATATGCAAAACAGAAAAAGAGACACAGATGTACAGAACAGACCTTTGGACTCTGTGGGAGAAGGCGAGGGTGGGATGATCTGAGAGAACAGCATCGAAACATGTATATTATCAAGTGTGAAACATTGCTCTGTTTTTAAAGCACCTTTCCCATTCAGTTCTTGCATCACAGACACTGGTCTTCTGGTACAGTAGTCCCCAACCTTTTTGGCACCAGGGATCGGTTTTGTGAGAGAAAATTTTTCCACGGATTTGGGGTGGGGGATGGTTTCAGGATGATTCAAGCACATTACATTTACTGTGTAGTTTATTATTTATACATCAGTTTCACCTGACATCATCAGGCATTAGATCCTGGAGGTTGGAGACCCCCCCGTCCTGGTAGATTTTCAAGGGTTTATAGCCCAGTTCTTGCAACTTTGAAAGCAGGATACTATTAATACTTTAAGGGAGCAGGATTTGACTTCAGACTCCTGTGTTCAAATCTTGGTTCTGCTATTTCAAACTGTGTGAACTGGGGAATTTTATTTAATCTCCCTATGTCTCAGGAAACTCATATTTAAAGTGTGACTTAATGGTACCTACCTCATAGGGTTTTTGAGATAATTAGGTGAGATTGTATGTGTAAATACACACATGGGGTCTGGAATTCAGAAATATTGCTCATTATTCTCATTATTATTTACTCTTAAATAACAGCCTAACTTGATTTAATTCTTAAGCATTGCTTTATTCTCTGAAGATTGCTATGTTGTCTTCTAAATTTGAATGATTCTGTTGTGAAAACTGCTAGCCATTATTACGAAAATGTCTCTTCTTGAAGTTGAATTTTGTTTTTTTTAATCCTGGGTGGCCATTGAGTTTTTTCTTTGCATTCTAATTCCAGTGTTCCTATAGGAATGTTTCTCTTTTTAAATTCTTCTATAACAATTTTTCTGGGTCATGAAATTTCAGGTAAATTTAAATCTTGTTTTATTTAAGGAAAGTTTCTTTTATTATGTTTTTACTTTTCAATTATGTTTTTCCGTATTGTCTTGAGGAAAATAAATTGAGTATAGGCAATATTTTTCTGTATTTCAAATCTCACTTTCTTCTAATCCATTTTAGCTCTTTATTTTTTCATTTCGTTTTATTTGATTTCCTCAATTTAGTTCTTATCACTGACTATATATTTAACAGGATCAAGTCTCCTTTTTGATGACTCATATAACTTTTCTTTCTATAAAGTTTTTTAATCTTATTGCTACAGATTCATATTTTTTAATCTTTCATTGCTTTATCACCTCTTTTTCGAGTCCCATTACCTTGATGTCATGGAATTGGTTTAAGTTCCTTTTCTTGGATGGCATAGGGCTGCAGGTGTGTATTTCTCACTTGCCCTCTGTCTTCATATTTTCCTTCTTTCATAGATACCATGTTGATTTCTTTCTGGTCACTGCTTATCTCTGAAGGGAGTCCTTTCTTCTTGTTCCAGCTAGTTGTTGAAGAAGAGCAGGTAAGCACACAGCATGGTTTCGGCCTATTGTCTACAAACATATTCTCACTAACATTCTTCCCTGAAGATATGATTGGACTAGGTCAGGAGATCTTCCAGGCCTAGAAGAAAGCTCTTAATGTCACAGATGTATGCATGCAATTTATTTATGCATCTATTGTTGTTGTTGTTCAGTTGCCAAGTCTATTGTTGTTGTTGTTCAGTTGCCAAGTCTGTTGTTGTTGTTGTTCAGTTGCCAAGTCGTGTCCAACTGTTTGTGACCCCATGGACTGCAGCACTCCAGGCCTTTCTCTCCCTCACCATCTCCCAAAGTTTGCCTGAGTTCATGTCTATTGAATCGGTGATGCATCTATATCTATATAGATGGATATGCATTTATATCCATATCTATATCTCTATCTATGATTTCATGTATACTTTTCTTCTGGTGACCAAGATCAGTAACTGAAAGTCAGCTGCCCTCCCTCCATGGATGAAAAATTGTCCCTCACCATCTGCCTTTACAAGGATGAAGTTACTAGCCATAGCAGTCACAAGGAGTTCAGGGCAGAGATCAGGAATGAGGCACTCTGTGCTCTGGGAAAAACTGGCAGAACAGACCTTCAGATAGTTAGATATTTTCAGGAGAATATTTTTATAAGCCTGATTTCTTGCATCTTCTCATATCTAGAAAAGCACTAAAATCATTAATGAAGACATCTGCTCCTTGTGACTAGCAGCAACTTTCTTGTGACTAGCAATGACCTTCTGCCAAAATGTGTGCTTGACTGCATGTTCCCCACTTCACTAAGATCACATATATATTGACCTCTCCCTTTACCTTTTAGGAATAGTTTCTCAGAGCTATCTGAGAGCCTGACTCCAGGGCTATAGTCCTCATTTTGCCCCAAATAAAACCTAACTCACAACTCTCACATTGTGCATTTCTTTTTGTAGACACCTCCCTGTTTTGGCCTCCACCTTGATACACACATTTTTGCAAAGATACATGTCCGTATGTTTCCACCATCTTTTCTCACTCAGCACATACTCCTAGCCTTCCTCATGCCATGCTGCCCTCTAAAACCCTTCAGTGTCCCTGGCTGTTGTCATTCTAAAGGAGGGGCATTTGTTTGACCCCTCAGGCTGTGCAACTTTTATTTGGAGGACTGTGCAGGATTCTTCATCAATTGTGGCTCAAAGGTGTGCTGGATTTCTGTTTTCATCACATGTCATGTTTTTCTATTTTATTTCTCCTCAGTATTTCCAAATCATTTCAAATCTAAAGGCAAAGACCCATTCCTCTATCATCTTCACTTGGAATTTTCTTGTAAGTCCCCCTCCTAAGTAATTACACATCTATTTATGATCCAGATTTGAAAGAAAGGGCATAGCTTGCCATGAACACATGAGGTGCATGTGTGCATGTGTGTTCAGTTGTGTCCGACTCTTTGCGAGCCCACGAACTATAGCCTCCAGGCTCCTCTGTCCGTGGAATTTTCCAGGCAAGGATATCAGAGTGGGTTGCCATTTCCTACTCCAGGGGATATTTCTGACCCAGGGATCAAACCCACATCTCTTGTGTCTTTTGCATGGGCAGGCAGATTCTTTACCACTGGTGCCACCTGGGAGAAGGACAAACAAATGAGGATACATGCCAACTAAAGAAACTAGAGACCCCTTAATCAAAGAAGTCCTCAGGCCTGCATGAGGTGAGGGCTGGGGAGATGGAAGAGTTGTTCGTCTAAGCTGAGAAATTTTGATGGGTATGAAAGAGAATAAAGGAATAAATTCCACAGGCAAAGTTAACATAACATTGCTGATGTAGGTTCGAAAAGATCTTGTGAATAGGGCCTTTCAATATCTTCAGGGAAAGGCTGGGATTTCTTACTCTTTGAAATTATTTCAACATTCTAGATCTCAGACCTACCCCTAAGATTCAGAACAAGGAAAAATAGATGTTTCCCATCCAAATAGATGTTTCCCATCCCATAAATCAGATCCTTCCCCAAGTAGAGATGATAAGCTGCAGAGTCTTACTGGGGCAGCAGGACTAGAGTCAGGCCACTAATTCCCCATCTCTAAAGACTTGCTTTTTCCTTTGTCCTGAGGGCTAGAAACCCCTGTGGACAATTCCTGCCAGGCCAGCTCAAGGCACTAATTTGGTTTTGCTTTACTTCTCGTAGCAGAGAGCTAACATTCATCACTTGCAAGCTCTATCTTTTGTATTTCATCTACTGTCTTGTGATTTCACAGCCTTTACAAGAGATCTGAAATACTTTTTCTACCATGGGCTGGGTCACTCAGTCATATTCGACCTTTTGCAACACCATGGACTGTAGTCCACCAGGCTCCTCTGTCCATGGGATTTCCCAGGCAAGAATACTGGAGTGTGCTGCCATTTCTTACTCCAGAGATTGAACTTGCATCTCTTTTGTCTTTTGCACTGGCAGGTGGATTCTTTACCACTAGTGCCACGTGGAAAGCCTCTCCATGCCATATACAGATATATAGTCAGAAAACACAATAAAGCCCTCTAAGCCTTCTATAGTGTTCATGGACTGAATAGAGATAAATGACTTTTGACTTCATATGGAGCTGATCTGTTTTCTACTCCTTCCAAGCCTCTTATTTGGGTTGTTGTAATTCATTCATACCTACTGCAGGTTCCTCTATAAGAGAATATGAGGCTAAGAGCAGCATCTCATTATAATTATCCTGGCAACTTTATGCTCCATAGATTGGAGCAATGACAGGGTAGAGATAGTGAAAGTCATTGAAGAGAAAATGGCTAAAAATGGTGAAGAGTCAGGGACCAAAACTGATAATTTGCTTTGGAAAGAGACCAACAGAACACATGGGAATAAGGAAGACTTGTCTGAAGAGCATTTCAGAATATAGGGATAATGGACTGACAAAGGACCAGGGAGTCTGCCCAGACATACTCCTGGAAGTCTCAGAGCTCCAGAAGTCCTACCTCTCTGTCAGTCAGAGGTGGTGAACCAGAAGAGTCCCATTGGCCATTTTGACTCCATGGTGAATGTAAGAAGGAATAAACGTTTCTAAGCCTCCCAGTCTTATTTCCCCTCTTTCTATCTGTGATATCTGCCTCCAAAGGTGGCTTCCTAAAAGAACTATGCCTCCCAATATCCACATCCTCATCTAATCCACTCCTGCATTGAATCTGGGCTGGCCCAATATAACCAATGAAATGTAACAGAAGTGACACAGAGTGACTTCTCACACTAGGTGATGAGAAAGCTTTGCAGTTTCTGCCTTGGTCTCTTGGAACACTTGATCTGGAGGAAGCCTGACTTCATGTAAGCAGTCCAACTCTCCTAGAACTGCCCTTACTATGAGGAGGCTCAGGACAGCCACATGAAAAGGCCATGTGTGGAGAGAGATTTCCAGCCAGCCCCAAAAGCCTAGCCACCTCAGCCTAGGCACTGGCCATCTTAGATACCCAGCCCAGGTTAGGCTTCAGATGACTCTACCCCGAGATGACATCTGACTACATGACAGAGTATCACCTTGCTGAACTCAATCAACCATCAGAACCATGAAAGGTCATGACAAAATGTCTTAATTCTCTAAGTTTAGGGGCACTTTATTACACAGAAATAAATAATTGGAACATTGACCCAGGAAGCCATGGGAGAGCCACTCTTTCTGCAAACACTAGGACCATTTCCATGGATGGAAATAAATGGGGACCTGTCACCCCTACTACCAAATTGCTTGACCAGCATCCCGAGATGAGGAGTACCCATTGAGTACCCATCTCCACATTCCTCCTCTGTTCTGGGAAAGTCAGAGAGATTCCAGCAGGCTCTTCTGAGCACAGAGCCCACGGACCCCTGAGTTTATCTGTTTCTGGCTGCTAATTTCCCTGGCAGCATTTATTGATATGGGCAATGCCCAGGACCCTGCCATTTGCCACCTGGCTGAATCTCCATTTCTCTATCCCAGAGCTCTGAAATACCCTGCTGTTGCCTGTCCCATGCATGTGAAGATCTCTCTGTGGGAACTTGGGGAAGATCTGGAAAGGGCAGAGGCTGTTGGAATCAATGCCCAGAAGAACCTCCCAGGCCAGACTGGAACCTACCACATGCCTTGTCCCTGCCTGCCTGTTGACTTGGGCTCTGTATATTTTATATTTTATTACTGGTGGCCCTGGGCGAGGCTACACATAAGTGTTTATGCTGGCAACAGGGGGCAGCATTTCCTGGGCTGTGTTTCGAGAGACAAGTCATGTTTCAGAGCTTTATTCTCTCTGTACACCATCAGTTTTCTCCTCCTAAACCTGTGCCAGGGTCAAAACAGAGCTTGCTTCTTGGGGTGAAAATTCTATTCTTAACCCCATGTCTGGCCTCTTTGGAAGACACAGTAGCTCACTTCATCAATGAAGCACTTTTCTCCTAATACAGTTGCTCATGGTTGTGACAGTATTGTTCTTTAGACTTCCAGGGCCAGGGTCTCAGAGAGGCACTTGCATTTGACATTGAGGGGTTAGCCATCAATGGTGTTGGCATTTGGGTCCATGATCTTCAGATGAGCTGTCATATGCAGGGGTCTGTAGCCAGTGTTACTAATGGTCTTCACTTATGTTGATCCCAGTACTAGCCAAATCTACTTCTCTAATAGTTAAGACCGAGAAGAAGTGGGATAAGTGCTTGGGCAGAAACAATAAATACAAAGTCTATTGATGCAATTTGCTTTAAAATATCAACCATCTTATTAAGCACACACACACATCTATCTATAGGATTTGAGTACATTTAAACAAAGCAGAATTACTTTTTATACATCAACTGGCTAAAGATTGAGGTGGGCAGTTTGTAGGTTCCACACACAACTGGATGCTCAGAGATTGCCCTGAGGCTGGGGATCCGACCAGCAGCTAGCTCTTAATCTGGGCTTCCCTTGGACCAGTGACCTGGAAAGCGGCAAGGGAGGTACCAGTGGGGCCAGCTGGAAATGGCCTTTTTGTCTGCCTCTCAGCAGTTCCCAGAGCCCACTCTGCACCACCCAGGGAGGTTTTGCTTTCTATGACTCCTTTGCTTGATGCTGACTCCTGACTCCAATTTCACAGTAAAAAACTGAGCCACAGAGAAGCAAAGCCAGTTAGCTGGGCATGCAGCAAAGATCAGAAAAGCCAGGTCAGAACCCAAGGGTGACCAGGTTGCCCAGGGGACATGAAAAAGCGCCACCAAGAGTTGAGAATGCTGGGGAGGCTGGGGCAAGAGGACATTTCACCCACTGAAGGTGGTATCTCCT